CTTAACCTTCCCCCGCTGGGACTTGCTGTTGTCCCTAAGCTTGGGAGCGCGTGTGCAGCTGAAGATCTGGAGATGTTCAAAAGTGCCAGTGCCTTTGCTTGAGATAGAGTTTTTTAAAAAAAAAAAATAAAAAATGCCCCAAACCAAACAAAAACCAAACTTGGTGCTGTTACAGTAGTGCAGGTCCCGCTGGCTTTAGTTATGTGGATGAGTGATGGAAAGACACCAGAGAGAGGAAGAAGAGGGAGAGCAGGAGGGGACCCATGGCACTTGCTTGTAGTGGGGTTGTCCATGGCTTTCCTGAGGTCTGGCTTGATGCAGAGGCAGAAATGGGGATCTGAGATGGCAGCACACGGCTCATCCCTGGCAAGGCTGGAGAACCGCAGCCTGTCCTGCCTCTCCCGACACCCTGTCCCGCTCAGCGCCGGCACGGGGAGGAGGATCAGTAACGCAGGTGACCCCCATGCAACCTCGCGAGGACGGATCCCGCTGCGCCTCGTTTGCTAATTCAGGGTTACGTCATGAAGATTATGAGGGGGGTGGCAGGTTTCCTTAGAGCCAGCTAAGCGCTTTGTTAAATCATGCCTTAGGGGAGGGGAAAAATAAAATGCATCCTGTAAGCGTTTGCTGCCTGCCAGGGCAGTCCTGCTTTTTAATTTGACATAATTAGCCTGGCCGCTGCAGGATCCTCGTCAGCTGCTGCGGGCTTCCCTGCTTGTACCTGCTCTGCAATTGCTGCTTCAGGAGGAAAAAAAAAAAAAATAAAAACTTGAAGTGTTTTGTACAAATCCCGAGCCATAAATTATTTAGCAGGTGAAACAGAAATGTGCTGTGTGCTTGCAGGAAGCAAGAGGCTGCACCAAAAATGATGCGGCGTGGCTTGCGGCTCTGCCGCGATGTGCCTTCTGCAGAGTCATGTTGTTGGGAGGGTTTTTTTTTTTCCTTCTTTCATCTGAATATTTTCTTGTTGGCTGAAAGCCCGGAATAAGTAGCAGAGCAAGAGGCGAGAGCTTGTAGAACAGAGCCAAGTGATTTATGTGCCTGGCTGTGCAGTTGAAAAGCGTTCGGGTCTCTGGTCTTTTTACCTTCAGTGTAGGAAAGCCCCTTTGGAAATTTAAGGTAACGTTGGCTTGTTCCTCTCTCTCTCTCCCAACTCAGCCTATGGCTGTTTGAAAATGTGTTTTCTGTTGCTTTGCATGCTGTATGAGTTGTGTCAGCCTTTCTGTTGCTACAGCTTTTGTTCTTGGCATCTTATCTCTGCTGGCATAACTGACATTAAAGCCATGGACCAGAGGTCTTCTGGAGGAAGCAGAGGTCCTGCTTGGTAGATGGAACTTCTCTTGGGGATGGAGCAGCCTCGATGCAAAGGAATTAAGGGAATAAAGCCCTGGGACTGGAAGTAGGTAGGGATTTGTAGCCATCATCCAGCCAAGCCCAGCTAGGTACAGTTCACCGTCTGAAAACTGGAGACTTTTACCTGTATCTGATGCAATGAGGAACTGAGTTACAGCAGAGCTCCTCAAAGAGCTTAAAAATAGCATTGGGTTTTCTCTCCTGTTGCTAATGCATCCGGTTTAAAGTGGGTTCAGATGTGGTCGGAGACTCAGAGCAGAACATCCCTTGTGGTCTCACCAAACCATACGCTTGTGCGGGATCATAAAAAAAATCATGGAAGGGCAGAGGGGCTGAGCAATAGTCCAGTAACGCCTGCTAGCCCAGATTTCATCCTGGTTTGCGTTCTTTAGAAAGGTAACTATTGAACAAGTGCGGATTGACAAATACAGAGGAGGAAAGTTTTACAGGTCAGAGCTGCCACTTGCATGTGGTGGTTTTTGGTTTTTTTTTTTTTTTTTCCACTCCGGCAGCCGCCTGCCCGTGGTTTTTGGTTTTTTTTTTTTTTTTGTCACCTCAGCAAGCGCCTGGCTCGTGCTGGAGCCTCTCAGCTTTGAAATGCAAAGCTGGTCTGAATTCTCCTGGGGTGTCCAGGTAGCACGTACTGCTGAAACACAATTAGCAGTATTTACTGCCCTGGCAGGGTTGCAGTGTAAATGATGCTTAGTCTCGCCGAGAAGCATGGTGTCAAATTTAAGGAATTATAATCGTAGCTGGTGATGTGTCTGGAGAGTGTGCTGCTGTCTTCACCGGCTCTCTTCCACCCCGACCTCACTGAGGTCTCTCCCCTGGGTGTAGAAACATCTCCATGGTCCCACAGCTCTTGGGACATCCCTTGTGATCCTGCAAGGGATCGCCGGCAGAGAGGGCTCCGGTCACACGCTGTTGTTGACTAATACCGCCTGTCTGTCTTCCAGCTGCTCATGCTCCTGGGCACAGCTGATGGTCAACCGAAGCTGACCTCCGAGCAGAATGCCATCAGCCTCTCCCCTGGCAAGTATCGCCACCTCGACCGTGCAACCAACAAAGAGCTGATCTGCGACAAATGTCCCGCAGGAACCTATGTGTCTAAACATTGTACGAAGAGTACCTTAAGAGAGTGCAGCCCTTGTCCAGATGGGACCTTTACTAAGCACGAGAATGGCATAGAGCGGTGCCACCCTTGTAGAAAACCCTGTGAACTGCCAATGATCGAGAAAACCCATTGTACTGCCTTGACTGACCGCGAGTGCACTTGCCTGTCAGGTACATTTCAGATGAACGATACCTGCATCCCTTACACGGTGTGCCCGGTCGGCTGGGGTGTCCGCAAGAAAGGAACCGAGACGGAAGACGTAAGGTGCAAGCCGTGCCCTCGCGGTACCTTTTCTGATGTGCCTTCTAGTGTGATGAAGTGCAAAACATACACTAACTGCTTTGGAAAAAACATGATGGTCATCAAGCCAGGGACGAAGGAGAGTGACAATGTCTGTGGTTCTCTAGCGTCTCTTCCAAACACGTCTTTGATTTCGTCAAGCACTGAAGCAGGTGAAGAGCCCTATGAAGTTCCACCAACCGCTCAACTTCCCAAAGGTAATGTCCACCACTGAAACACAGATGTGGTTTTGGTCATGCAGTTGCGTTCCTTCCTCAGCCAGGCTTGGTTTTAGGCTGTTGAAGGGCAGCCTGGTCTAAAGCATGGGTGGTGCTTTTGTTTCTTGGTGAGAAGGCAGCTCCAGAGTGCATCAGGCTGCGCTGACTTGCGTTAAACCGCATTTAATAACATTTTCACTGAGGCTGTAGTCATGAGTGGACTCCTGGCTGTCCTACTGTTTGGACTGAAAGGACATCACGTTCCCCAGCCTCTTTTCCCATCTGTGTGTTGTGCTGGCACAAGTATTTGCATTTGTGGCAAACCTCAGTTGAGATGCAGCAGGAAAACCCAGAGGGGAGAGGAGCTTTGCTCCATCAGACTCCTCCCCCGTTGGATTCACTGCTTTCATGCCCATGCTTTCCTTGCTGCATTTGACCCTGTGCTGTGCCAGTGTATTGGCTTGAATGGGAACCACTGCCAAAACATCCCTCCAGGAGCCAAGGCTGTCCCGTGACTCTTTTTTTTCTTTTTTTTTTTTTTTCCCTTCAGTCTCTAAGATTTCCATTAGTTATCACCAGTGGGGAGAACCTGGTTGAATTCCCCATTCTCTCACTTAATTGGAAATGGTACATCATCACAGTCTTTATGGAGGTGTTTTAGCTGTGGCTGGTTGCAGTGGTGCTGTAGGACTCCATTTGAGGTGGTGCCCAGCACTCCCTGGGAAGCAGCTTCCTTGCGGTGTCTCAGATGGGGCATTTTAATGGGGGGGAAAAAAAAAAAATGCAACTTTTGATGGCCTGAACACCTGAGTTGGTAAATACAATAGCAGGGAAGTGCTGACGGTGGTAAACTTCCAGTGCTTCTCCTTTGTTAGGTCTCAAAGCTTGATGTGACGTTGGGAGAGGACAGGAGGGTGTTCCCTGAACTTTGAAATCAACTGTACACAATTAGATAAAAGTTCAGGCGTTTTCCCTGTTTGTATCCTGGTAGAGTGTTTTGATAACCAAGTCAGGCAAAATCAGGTTACAGGTGGTTACACCTACTCTGTGGCTCGACTGGGCTGAGGTCTGATCTTCAAAAGCCGAGTTTCCATAGTAAGCTCTAGTTTTTGCCACAACAGCCCTTCCTCTTCTCAACAGGCTTTGGTCATGCATGTGGCTGGGACCAGAGAGCTGTTGGTTGATAAGAAAACTCGATAAAGACAGAAAGTAGCTGTTAGGGGAAAATATGGTTGCTTAAGTTGCTTCAGAAACCTATTTTGTAGTAGATGCACCCACAGCTGCTTGCAGTGCTGATAAAAAAGTTTGTGCTTCCTTAACAAAACCCGGTAGAGAGATACTAAGCCTCGAAATTGTCTTGTATTTCTACCCCAAATACCAAATTCCACAATTGCAGTAAAACTAATGTTCATAAAACTAAGGAAGAAGAAAACAACTCCCTCAAAGTTGTAGGTTTTCTGAGAAATACTGAATGTGGGACAAACGGGGTATGACAACATGCCTTTAATAACTTTTTTTTTTAAATGAGCTGCCACTAGCCTTAACCAACAAGGGTCAATTTTACCTTGAACCTACCTCTGTAACTGTACCCATCTGTTCCCAGAGCCAAACCTCAACTTCACCTCTTCCCTTTCTTGCTACCCGGCGTTGGGTTTCTGTCTGCTGGCCAGGCAGATGCTCAGGCAGGTCTTAGACCATGATGTGATGCCGTATCATGTCTCTGGTGCAGTGACACTGAGCTCTCCTCTCCTTTTGCAGGTCTGAACTCTTCAGTTCCCGATTTTGTTCCCTCTCCAGCACCACGCGCATCCAGCAGCATGGCGGAGCTGGCAGGCTACTACAATGAAACCTCGGCCAACGAGACGGACAGTGCTGGTGGGACCCTCATGGGCTCTGGTGCCACCAGCCAGGCACAGAGCTACCGGGACAAGCAGACCAGCCAAGCGCTGGAGAAGCGGCCATCGCTGGAGATGGTGGGGGGTGAGAAGTCCAGCGTCCCATACAGGCCCCCCCGGCGAGGTCCGCAGAACGTCCACCAGCACTTTGACATCAACGAACACTTGCCATGGATGATCGTCCTCTTCCTGCTGCTGGTCCTGGTGGTTATCGTGGTCTGCAGTGTCAGAAAGAGCTCACGGACTCTGAAGAAGGGACCCAGGCAAGATCCCAGTGCCATTGTGGAAAAAGCTATTATGAAAAAGTCCACCACCCCTACGCAGAACAGGGAGAAGTGGATCTATTACTGCAACGGGCACGGTGAGCAGCAGCGACTGGGGGCCGCGGGGGGTGGTGTCCTCTCCACCGTCCCACATGGTGCTTTGGAGGGGCTGCCCACATGTCTGGTGACTGGTTGCTTTTTCTGACTTGCTGGGTCTTGTAGCAAGGACAAAACCCGTATACTGGTTCCTCAGATGTTTCTTCATCCTTGGCTTCTCCCCCTCCCTGTTCCTGTGGTGTGTCCCTGCTCCTGAAGGAACGGTTAATGGAGGGAGTGTCATGTGCTCGTCCCAGCTCCTCATCTTCTTACCACCCATCCTTGGTAGAAGCATCTTGAATGAAGGCTCCTTTTTTTTGTTGATTTTTGTTTTGTTTTGTTTTTTTTTTTTTTAATTCCCTCCTGATTCACACCTTATTTTCTCGGTGACTCAGGCATGGGTCTGGCTGCCTTTTGTGTCATCCTTTTTCCCTCACCCCATCTGTTTCTGGAAGGCTGAGTCATCTCCTGCCTCTTGGCAGTGCCTCAGTTTCAGGTTCTTAGCCCTAAATCCTGACTGTTGGCTTGTGTCCCCAGCCCTTCGCCCATGCTGGAGCCAGGAAAGTTGTCCTGAAAGGCTGTGTTGTGTTGTGAGATCTTCCTGGAGGCTCTGCTTTGTAGTGTTTTCTGTTCTTTTGGTGGATGACTTGCTGTCAGCTTTTTGATAAGACTTTAAAGGTGACTCGTTGTGGTCATTAAGTTGAAATTTGTAAAAATTGGTGATAAATTAATGGTGGCATGAATGTGAGCACTGAGCAACCATGATCTCCCTAGTAGTATGCATGGATCTTCCTCTGCAAAGCTACGGTGGCAATTTTGACCCCTCCCTTGTCCTGTGCAGACAGCACTGACGAGTCTTTGCTTTGGGTTGAGGTTGCTCAACCTTAAACACCCATTCACAGTTAACCTTTAGAAAAGCACATTTAACAAGGGAGGGCCAAAGAAAGAATGGATTGAAAAAAGATTGGGAGGTTTAAGAAAGATCAGTCCTTGATGAAAGTCATCCCTGAGTGCTTAAAGAAGGCTTTGAGTAGGGTGTCTTCTGTCAGGTACTCTCGTCTCCTTACTGCTGATTAATAGCCATA